CGAGTCACAAAAAGCCTCAGCCAGTCTGAGCACAAAAAACCTCAGCCAGACTGAGCATGAAGAGCTCGGCCAGACCGAGTCACAAAAAGCCTCAGCCAGGCTGAGCACAAAAAGCCTCAGACAGACTGAGCATGAAGAGCTCGGCCGGACCGAGTCACTTAAAGCCTCAGCTAGGTTGAGCACAAAAAGCCTCAGCCAAGCTGAGCATGAAGAGCTCGGCCAGACCGAGTCACTTAAAGCCTCAGTTAGGCTGAGCGCAAAAAGCCTCAGCCAGACTGAGCATGCAGAGCCCCGCCAGAGTGAGTTGCTTCAAGCCCCAACCAGGCCGAAGCCAGTCAGAATCTTCTAATGCCAGAATAGATCGGTTAGAAAGAATGGTGGAAGCTTTAACTGGGTTATTAGAAGAATATCTGTTGAGATGAGAACTTTGGGACTGAAATTGATGACCGTAATGGGTTCAGAAAACGAAATTGAGCACGCCTATATGTGGCGTGAGCCTATGTTTTGTACATGAATTTTGATTATATGTGATGTAATGTAGTGGGTAAATTAACATTTTTGGCATGTAATGTATGTTCATATAAATGCACAGCTCTTTGGACTATTAGTGGTTATTGTTTTCGCTTCCGCGAGCCCCTTTTTATTTATGTTTTGTATAGCAAGGCCTGTGGTAATCTAGGATTACTGGCCGGTCTCGTTGCCAAACTTCTAGGGGCGAGTTTTGGGCGTGACAGAGTGGTATCAGAGCGCACGAGTTAATTTACCCACACACGTGTCCATCAGAGCTGTAGGGTGTCATAGAAAAGAAATAGAGCATGGCATACATGTGTGCATGTGTGTGTGTGTTTGAAAGAGAAAGAAACGAGAATTGTACGATGAGGCAACAGAAGAACTGTTATGTGAAAATGAGATGTTGTATTTTCTATGGGTTCTATAGACCAATGGAAGACACCAATGCAAGAAATGCAGATGAGACAGGACCTTCTGATGCTAGAATGACTCGGTTAGAAAGAATGGTTGAAGCTCTGACTGGATTGGTTAGACAACAGCTAGAACAAAACCAACAACCACAACAAAGACAACCTTTTCCACCACCTCCTCCACCACCTGTTCAAGTGGAACCGAACAATTATGATGACATCATTACAATGACACAGAAATACAAGAAACTGAAACCACCAGAATTTGCAGGGGGAATTGAACCTTTAAAAGCGGAGGCATGGGTATTAGAAACTGAAAAGATTTTTGAAGTGTTTCCGTGTACAGATGTCTATAAAGTTTTGTTAGCAACATTTACTCTGATAGAAGAAGCTCGAAGATGGTGGATGCTCGTACGAGGTGAGAATAGGGACTTGACATGGGATCGATTCAAAGGAATGTTTTATGAAAAGTATTTTCCACAATGCATGCGAGATAGGAAAGTATCCGAATTTGAGCAGCTGATGCAAGGTACAATGTCAGTAGCGGAGTATGAAAGTAAGTTTACCGAATTAGCTCGTTGTGCTCCTCATATGGTTGATACAGAATACAAGAAAGCAAGGAAATTTGAGGGCGGCCTACATGTTGAAGTCCTTGACCGGGTAAATGTATTGAAATTAGAAAAATATGTTGATGTACTTGACAGAGCCTTGATGGCTGAAACAAATATTGCTATCTTGAAAATGTCCAAGTCTATAACTACACCTGAACTAGAAAGTAAGAAATTCAAGAAACAGAGGATGGAAGCGGTTAGTGAATCAGTGGCCTCCGTGAATGAAAATTTGAACTCAAGCTTTCATGATAATACAACAAGGGGAAATAGTGAGAGTGTAGGTAAACCTATTTGTAGGGAATGTGGGAAGCAGCATGGGGGCATTTGCCGCCGAGGAACTGGAGTTTGCTACAAATGTGGACAACAATGACACATAGCCAAGACTTGTCCACAAGTGTATCCAAGGAATGAAAGACCCGTGACTAGCGGAGCTAACTCAACAGTGACACCAAGGACGACTGCAACAGCTACTCCCGAGGGGAATACGTTGAGGCAAGCAAGAGTTTTTACCCTAGTGGCAGATAAGACGCAAAATACTGGAAAAGCAAAGACAGGTATGACTTTAATTGTCTATTATGAAGTTAACACTATTACCTATGCGATGGAAATATGAACATATGACCATGACGGAATAATATACCTTTGTTATTACTTATTAAGGAATGATTATGTCTATATGACTACTTTTATATTGAACATTTCTGACGGAAGAATTATCACGTACAACCGAAATTTCTGATTTGAATATTATCAGCATGAGCTAAGTTTGGAGGACCAAACTTCTTAAGGTGGGGAGAGTGTAATGACCC